AAAAAAAAAAAAAAAAAAAAAAGATCCACAATTCTCATTTGAAGTAAACTATCTGCGGGTCGACTAGTAAACAGCAATCAACTGCTAATACTTATGAATAACTAATAACCTCCTCCTTGATGCCAATCCTCCAATCTAATATTTCTTCCCCGAATTAGATACATATCAAGTTTGAAGCAAATTCCTCGTATGAAGCACAGAAACATGGGAACCAAAAAGGACAAAAAACACAATTGTCAAATCATGTATAAATATCATGATAATTGTCGAGTACAACATTCCAGTTGATTATGTATCTTGGAAAATAGAGCAAACTAGTTCCATAACATATTCCAGGCTCAGTGAAGAACATACAGAGCACAAGTGTCAAATCCTTCCATTCTAGCTTTTACATAAATATGAAAATTACAGAAAAAATTAGCCCCTCAAGTCCACGTGACCCTCTTAGGAAGAAACCACGAGGAAAAAGTGAGGCGGAAATACGGAATCCTACAAGCCACGTTAATTTTGTATTACAGGTTAGACATCTTTGGAACCAACACTGAACTTGGCTATAAAAAAGCCTATTGTATCAAGTGGAGATGAAGGATCAAATCTCTGAACAAGATCTTCCTCACCATGTCTTAACCATTCCCTGAAGAATTAAGCAGGAAAATACTTTAGCAAAATGATAGAAGAGAACAAAATGCTAAAAATACAGCAGCATAAAATTGTAGCGGCGAACCTTTCCAAAAGAAAAAGGAAAAAATGGAAAAGCATAAAAGGTGATGCTTGAAAATAAAATTGTAAAGGGATGAATCCCACATCGATTATAAATTAAATATATAACCAACATATAAGAGTTTGGGCTAATCATCTTCACAAGGTTAACCCTTTCAAGTGGAACCCCAAGTCATAATATAGTAGATTTGAGTCTCGCTGTCATCCAATTGAACTCCTCAAATATCAGGCTTTTGAAAAAAATGAACCCATCTTACATGCATGGGAGCATGTTGGAGACAATATAAATGACATACATTTCACCCTCTCTAACAGCTAAGCTTTTAGATCAAGTGGTTGAACATAAAAAATATTGCAGCACTAAGCTTCTTTACGCACTATAAATTTGTGTTAGCTTTGCATTTTTTATGGTTTTTGATTACATATTAGGGATTGCAACTTAATCCAAAACATCTTTCTTATGAGTAAGCCTTCAAGTGGATTAGAAGCCCCATCATGTTCATCCATGTGAAACTTCCTTATCTTTAAGACATTCTATTTTGACCAACCACCCAAAAAATAACACATTGACACTGGAAAATAAAAACCAATGAATGGGTTGTCCTGGAATAGCAACAATCTTGATTAGCTATTCCCTTGACTGGATTGACTTTTTCGTGAGCATCATTTGACATAAAAGAGAATGCATCTTAATTTTAAAGATTTGATTTGATTTGATTTGATTTCTAGTTCCAGGAAATAACTTACTCTTTATATTCATCAGAAAATTGATGACAACCAACGAGTCCAGGTCCCCCTACTCTTGGAAACTGCAGCGAATTTCAGAACAAACATCATAAAAATGACGAATTATAGAAGTGGAATCTACAGCAAGCATCTCCTGCCGGATAGGAGTGGCAGCCAATGGTTGTGGACAACAGGAAAAGCCCTTAAAAATCATAGTACTTCATTTTTATTAGAAGACCTAAGATTTGCAGAATGGAATATAAAACACATAAAATTCTGGAAAATCAATCTGCTGACGTCCAAAATTAGGGAAGAACCATACATTAAGCTTTCATAAAGTAATTTGACTTCAGGATTATTTCATTTATTTTTTCTCCATTCAACTATAGTTCCAGTCGGGCTTGGACACAGGTCAGGGCTGGTTCTGTGCCAGGCTGGTCCAGTTTGTCAGCTCACTTTCCTATTATATCCAATCATAAATATTAGAAAAATGCTATATGTACACCCCATGGTGTACACACGGCTTTACACCACATTATGTACACGTAGCATCTCCCTAAATATTATTCAGGGACCAACTGGTTGATATAACCTCAAACACACAAGTTACACTAATTCACTCACTGAGGGTGGAGTCACAGAAATAATGAAATGCAGCCAACTTGGCGATCTACACGTTGCCAGCAATTTTTTTAATTGTCAAACAAATCACAAGATCTGGTGTGGTCCAACAAATGCTTGCAAAGAATTAATCCAAAAACTAAATCAATTATTCATGATCTATGTAGGGCTCTAAACTTTAGTCTAACCTGTGATGCCAGTGAGAGGAACTTATATGTGTCCAATGCATATCGAACCAATGCCTCATTTTCACCAGGGTTTATTGTGCATCTGCAGTAATGAAAATGTTGATTGTCATCCTTTTGAACATTTGGAGTAGGATAGGAATAAACAACAGATGATGTTCTACTCATTTTTCAAACGACATTACATGAAAGCATTCAGACTATAGAAATTGAAGAAAAGAACATATGAAGATACTATCAATTTGTATCCTATAAAACCACAAACCATACAGAAACTCAACTGGATTCTGTAGTGCATGTTGATCAATGATTGGCCATCACATATACAAGAGATATTTACAGCTTGAGGGGTTAGGTTTATGAAATTGTACCACAGACTACAATGGTGCATCAGGTTATGATATAAATCCTGGTCCAAATCCACTTTAGAATGAAGCCAATTTTTTAATAGCTCTCTAGCAAGCCTTTTTCCGGGAGTTTATTAATTGGTTAATTGTGTTATCAGACATGGATGAGTTTTCAAATCCCAACATTAGTCCGGTTATTCAAATGAATGACATTAACACAGTGGATTCTTAATCTAGATATCATCTATCCTTGTATTCAATACGATTTTACACCCAATATTTCATTTGCAAACACAGATTTGGTTTTGGAAAAGGATTAAATTAAGAATAATGCTGTAGATATACTGATGTTAAACACCAGTGGTAATGAATAGTATTAATCTTAAATTGATGTATCTGAAATTCATGGATCTAAAAATTTTATCAGTTGTGTGACAAAAGATTTAAGACAAAATCAATAAAAGAAGAAATATTAAGGCGTTTCAAATAACAGATATAAAATTCCTACCATAGGTAATGGATGACTAAAGAGGATCTCATGCAAGTAGAACACAAATTTCACCGAGGATTAGATGACATCACATCCAAACAATTACGATATCTATCCTTTCTATTTTCGAAAGTGACAAGATTTTAGCTGAATGCCTCAATTATTGAGGATACCTTTCATTAAATAGAAATTACAACCTAAATCACAGCTAGATTCTATCAATTACAATTAGGGCTTTAGACTATCTGTTGTAAGCATAACTACACCATATATTAAAAGGTAATTACATATGTACGCTAATTATGGAAATAGTTAATTTCTTCCGTTGATATCCCCCTCAAATTAATGTTGGTCCATAAAAAAGCATAAATTTACCAACAAGAAACTGATGGCAGGGTCGAGAGAGAGCTTCAATAAGAACATCAACCGTCTTATCAGTGGTGAAAATATGAGGGAGAGTAATGACACGACCATCATAGGCCTCACAAATGGAATGACAATTATCTCAAGGTGCCTAGTGCGCCCATGAAACACAGAATTAGCAGCAATCTAAATGGCACTAGTAATATCTGCATGGAATGGAGTGGGATCAAGTTAAGGAAATCCAAGCTTAGCCAACAGTCCCGAAGCCAAATAATCTCAAAACTAGCAGATGACATAGTACGATACTCAGACTCATTGGATAATTTATACACGATTTTTTTCCTTACTTTTTTAAGAAACAAAGGTGTTACCAAGAAACATACATCAACTAGTAATCGAAAGCTGTGCATCGAAACAATCAACTCAATCAGCATCACTATAAGCCACCAAACGAATAGGAGAATCCTAGGAAAGAAAAAACAACATTTAGAAGTATCTTGCAAATAGTGAATAATTCTAAGGACAACCGCCAGGTGAAGATGTCGAGGAGCCTGTATAAACTGACTGACTTGATAAACAGCAAAGTAAATATCACGTCGACTAACATAGTTCAAACTCCTACTAACTACCTATTCAAAGAGAGATTAGAGAGAAATTCTCCATTACGTTGATACCTTACATTAACCTCCAACTGAGTATCAATAGAACGACCATCTTCAAGGCCAGAGTGTACAACAAAGTACCAATCGAGGTAGGGAGCACCTTAAAACCTAAAAAATATTGCAAATGTCCCAAGTCCTTCATATGAAAGGAACCCTGAAGATGCTCCTGAAGCTAGAAAATCAATTTAGAGTCGATCCATGTAATAATGATATTATCTACATACACCAGAAGCAAAACAATTCCACTAGCAGTCTTGTAGAGAGAGAAAAGAATCATACTGACTCTGGATAAAGGAGAAACTAAGAAGTGTAGATTGAAACTTGTTAAACCAAGCACGTGGAGAATCTTTCAAATTGTGGAGTGACCAACAAACGAGAAGACAGGGTCATAGATTTCCTTAAGATCTCTATGTTGAAAAGCATTTTTAACGTCCATTTGATGTAAGAGCCAACCTTTAAAAGCCACAATAGCCAGAATAAGTCATATTGGGTTATCTTCGCTATAGGAGTGAACGTATCCTCATGATCTCCCCATTCTCCTATCGATTATCGAGTGCTACTAATTGGGCCTTATATTGATCAAACGAGTCATCGGATTGCAACTCAATTTAATATACCCATTTACAACTAATGGGTTTAACACCAATAGGACAAGGAACAATATCTCAAGTATGAATCTCCTAAGAGCTTGAAGTTCCTTCAGCAATGGCCTTATCCCAACATGCCTATTTAGCTGCTTGCGAATAAGTAGTAGAAACTGTGATAGTGGCCAAAGTTGTAGAGAAACCATACCTTTTAGGAGGACGAATAGTGTGAGAGGACCGCCAAGGAGCCATAGAAACAAGTACCAAATTAAGGTTGAAAGGGACAAGTGAGGATGGCGGTCGTTGCCTCTAATAGACAATACCTATTTAAAACGCTCAATATGCTGAGAGATGTTGTCAAAACTAGAAAGTAGGACAAGCTCAGAAGTGGCAACATGTTGCGGAAAATAAGGCATATTTTCAAAGAAAATCACATTGTGAGAAATGCGTAGATGATTAGTAGCAGCATCATAAGATACAAATCCCTTGAGTGAAATGCTATAATCCATGAAAGCACACTTAACGAACTGAGCTGAAAGCTTGTGACGTTCATTAAGAGGTAAATGAACAAAGCAAATGCATCCAAATGTGTGAAGTGTATGATAATTGGGATGGATAGCATAAAGACAATAATAAAGAGAATTAAATTTCAATTGAAAAAAAGGCATATGATTAATCAAATAGACGGTTGTGGACAAAGCTTCCCCTAAAATTTAGGCGAAGCTGAAGATTACAAGAGTAAGGTCTAAACCACATCCAACAAGTGACGGATTTTGCATTCAGCCACCCCATTCCGTCGAGTATAGGGACATGATTCGCTGAGATATACAAGTACAAAATTGTGTCTCAATGTAAGCCACAAAGTTCTAAAAAACAGTACACCTCGACTTTGGAGTGAAGAAGGTAGACCCTAGTAAAACGACTATAATAATCAATAAACGTCAAAAAGTACTTATTAATGAGCATGTGAAATAAAAGGCGTATTACGCCAAATGTCACTATGAATAATCTCAAAACAAGCATCAGCACGACCACCATGAGTAGAAAAAAGGTAGATTTTTACTTTTCCCTAACTCACAAGTGGTACAGTCAATAGGCAATCCTTGAGTAGAACATTGATCTTTATTACCAAGGAAACCACTTGTAAGTTATGATGACTTAATCGTTTATGCTAAACCTCAGTTTGGTTTGCAATAGTGATACTGTAACGGCCTGGGTCCCATTTACTGGGCTGTCCCGGCTGTTAGATCGACGACGTACTGTCCCCACTGTACCAACATGGGTCTTTTCAGCATGCTTTGTCCTCACTCGCACGCTCCTCGAGAAAACTTCCCAGGAGGGTCACCCATCATAGAATTGCTCCAAGCCAAGCACGCTTAACTGTGGAGTTTCCAACGATGGACTTCCGGAAAAGAAGGTGCACCTTGTTGGTATGAGTAGTACCTATCAAATCTCTTAAACTTTCTTGGTCTGGGG